CCGCCCCGCCGCCTCCGGGAGGGGAGAGGAGGGGAAGGGAGGGCGTGCGGGGAGCCGCGCCCGCGCGCCCTCGCTGCCGCTTCTCCACGCTCAGGCCCTCAGTGCCTCTCCCTCACCTCGCCTGGATACCCAGTGCTTGGTCCGCGCTAGGGCTAGTCCGTCCCGGATGCTGTGGGCTCCGGACCAGGGCGGCGCCGGTTCGCCTCTGGCTGAGCCCACCCGCAGCGTTCACTCTTAATCATCTTCCTCTGCCTCCCGCTTTAGCTTCTTCCCTGGTGCCCTGCTCCCTGCCCAGCCTTTACTAGCTTGAATGACCACTGCTTGCCCCGCCCTTCATCTCCTGGTCCATACCCTACCCCTACATCTGCCCCTTCCCAGGGCAAAGACCTAGGGAGAGGGGAAGGGAGGAATAGCAGGTGGCTTGACCACCGACTGTGTGCATCTGGGACATTCGAGGTGGAGTCCATCCCGACATCGCTTAAATTCTCGAAAAATGTGTTTGAAGGGATCACAAGTATGCACACAAAACACAGGAAGACACACTCTCAAGCTAGCATATATATGTACTTAAGCATCGCATATGCCCACACCATCATCATGCAGACCTGCAGGTTCTACATAAGCATGTTCACCTGCACACTTAAGAACACATGCATACTCTTCATACATGTGGTCATAACGCTCAAACACACATCCACATTCACACATGCACTTGTACATGTTCAGTTACCTCCACACAAGCCCTTACATGTATAGTCTCTTGCACAAGTGCACACATACATTCATGAACATACACACACTTACACTCATACACAAACACACAGATGTATCCTCAACAATTTACTGTTTCCATTAGCTTGTGAGCTCCCTGCAGGCTGGGACTATGCTTTCTTACCTGAATGCCTGGTACACAGCAGGTGTTCTATAAAGGTCCGTAGAAGGTAATAAATGGAAAAATAGTTCGATGGACTTACATCCATGTACCCATCCATATGCTACATTGGCATCTCACACTCACCATGCCCCAGAAAACTTAGCAGGTCCAAAATAGGCCCAGCAACCCAGGGAGTGCACCTTTAGATGGGAAGCACCACCATGCCTCACCTCAGTGCTCACCCCTTTCCATGTTCCCAGGCATGAAGTCCCTGGAGCTGTGGGGGCGTGTCTACAAAGCCCATCCCAGAACCTTGATCTTGGCTATGTGTGTTCCTCAATTTTGACTTCAAAAAAAAAATAGTACTACCCTCCCACATTACAGGAAGGAGAGATTAGTGCACTTGTGAAGAGGGCATGCTAGTAGTTGGTAGGTGATTTTCTAGATCAGCTGAAGCTAATTCATTCATTCATGGGGGAAATTTTTTTGCCCTGTGAATTTCTTTCTGTGCAACTAACAAAGTTCAGGGGACAGCCCCAGAAAGGACAAGTAGACATCATCGCAGCCCTGAGCATAAATGTGAATGAGCCACCACTTCAATGGCCGGGCATTAGAGGCCGGGCAGCTAGCTCCTCTTCAGAAATCTCTGAGGAGTCTCTTCTCCTGGACAGGGACCAGCTCTTAGCTGCCTCCTCCTCCTGCTGCTTTTATGGCCCTGCTTTTCTTCTCAGCTGAATTCATGGAAGACAGGAAGGGGCAACATTAGTACTAACAGCATCGAGCTGCTTACTACCAAGGGTATCGACAGTGTGGCATTAATTTAAATACTCCTGTTATTAATTTATGATCCCAGTTACAATTATTGCCAAGGTTATCCATCTCAACACTATTTAATATGACCCATACTACCATGGCTGGGCCTGGTTTATTAATAATTTCCACGGTCGTGATCATTTAAGCCTTACTCGAACAATTACAAACAGAGATTGTTACTATTATTAGCAATATTTCTATGATTAAGCCTGCGCACAGGACCACAGTGTAATGCTGAGTGCTGGCCGGGAGAATGGCTCTGCGAAGTGTGCAGAGGAAAGAGCACTGAACTGAGAGTCATACAGACGTGGCTATAAATGCCTACCCAGCCTACCCCAGCCCCGCATGGCTTCCTCCTGTGTGGCCTTAGGCAGGTTATGTCATCTCTCTCAGCCTCAGTTTCCTCATCTATTAAAAAAAGATCCTCTCTCGAATGGGCAAGGTGAAGAACAAATGAGGTAACAAGGAGAGATTCCATCACCTTTTACTCATTCAACACAGATTTACTGAGCACCTACTACATGCCATACACTGTGCTAAGCACTAGGGATACAGCGGGAACAACAGCAGCTGCCCTCATGGAGCTGATGTTCTAGTGCTTTAGGTATTTGATGGGAAGGATTATTTTATCATGTGACACCTTGGCTTGGCCATACCATAGATAGCACAGCTGCGATCAAGATGTTCCTTTGCTGGGACTACCATCGTGACCACAATCGCCACCACTGTCACCATCACAGCCATCGATACCAAACCATGACACCATCATCGCTACCAGAACCACCATGGCTACCAGGCCACCACTCCCACTCCCATAATCTTTCCCATCACTACCATGACTGCTATACCATTGTCGCCAACATCCCCACTGTCACCATAACTGCCAGAGCCATGGCCACCCCACCCCCCCTGCCTTCCTTCATTTGTACCACCACAAGCAGTAGGAATTCCTGCTCCTAACTCAAGCTGGATACTTGGAGCCCCTTTTCTTTGGAACCTTATCAAAAGCCATTTGGAGCCACTGCCTGGCTGACCCCAAGTCCCTAATGGTCATGACTCCTGGCTTCAAACACGAGCATCCTTTTAAAATTTCTCCCTGATCCATCCCCCTTTTCCCTAATCCTCAGCTCTCGCAGCTGCTACTGTGGGATGGAGCATGGGAGAGGGCTCTTAGGAGATGACTAGCAAGTAGGATCAGACAGGCAGTGCCAAGGGGTCAGCTGTTTTCATGGGGGGGTCCCTCAGAACCATCTCCCATGACAGAGCTGCACATATAGAGGACCATCCCCCACCACACACACCAAGGCTTCCTGGACTTAATAGTGGCCCTAAGGTGAAAAGGTGGAGAAAATCATTTCTCTACATGAAGCTGGGAGTGGGAGTGATGAGTCAAACTTCATCTTCAGGAGTCGAAATGGGTTTGCCCCTCTCTTGTCCATCTCCCCACCCCTCTGTCACCAGGGAGGCTGGCTCCTCACACACACTCCCTGTCTTTCTGTTCCATTGGGACCCCTCACCTTGGGCCCTCTGAAGAACATTGCTCACAGCTCCCTGTGCCTGCCCCCAGCAGTCCCTGAGGAACCAGCCTTCATTTCCAACCCACTTCCGAGTAGAAATGGGAAAACAAACAATGAGAACTCACATTTGTTGAGATGTCTTGTGGGCTGGAGATCCACATAATTATCTCTTTTAATCCCCACTTCCTTTAAGGAGGTGCTGGGATCACCATTTTACAGATGAAGGGACTGAGGCTGTTAAACTACTTGCCCAAGGACCCCCGGAGGGAAGCGGTGGTACCATAAGTGGTCACCGTACTGCACAAGGCCCTTCAGAGCCAATCCTGGTCACTCCTCCCCTCCATCCCAGCCCCTCCAGCCTCACCTCGATGAGTTGGAGAGATAGAACCTGCATGTCCGAGGGGCTGCACACTGCCTTTTCGTGCTACCATTCAGATGCCCCTCCTGTCACACGCCACAGAATCCGGGCTTGTGGACCTAGAGGGGACTGGCAGAGGCGAGCCCGGGGATGCTATCTGCCTTTCGAATGAAGGCATGATTTCCAAGCTCTCTTGGCGAGCACTCGCTTTTCCTGCTTTGGAAGAATCACCTCCCCTACCCCCGTTCCAATTTCCAAACAGAGAAGGGGTGAAGGGAGATGGGCAAGGAGACAACAATTTCTGAGGGGGAGGAGGGGAAGAGGAGGTGCCTGGCCTCCCCCAGCTGCATCCCATCTGCCCTGGGCAGGCGGCCAGGCAAGGTAAGTGAGACCTGCTGCCCCACATTAGGAGCTGGCTTTGAAGCGTGATGCAGTGATTACCTTGGAGCTGACTCGTTCTAGCCTGCAAGGGGTGGAGGGGTTTGACCAATGAAGGGGCAGGGTGGGGCCTGGGGACTGGTTTGGGGTCAGCACGGTTTGATTCTGGAGCCGCTTTAGTAGTGAGAAGGTTGGGAGGAATTAGCCAATTTCGGAGTCCAGTTAGATTAACTGGAGCATCAAAGTGGACCAGTTCCACGGTGCCCTCCTCCACCGCCTGCTCCAGCCTGAGGCCAGTGCCCGCTTCTTGCCTCCACCCTGTCCTGCAAGGGGCCTGTCTAACCCACAGTCGTCAGCCTTCCCACCTCTGAGCCCTTCCGTGAGTGACGCCCCCAAAAGAGTTGTCTCTCTTCTTTTGACATAACGACAGAATTGGTCAAAACCTTCCATCTTCCATTTGCATTTTTTTTCTCTTCCTCAAAGGCCACCCTTCCTCCCACCCGTGTCCCGTTCTGTACCCAGACCTCTTGTCAAGGTATCGCAGGATCCGATCAATTTGTTCATATAGGCTATAGGGACTTAATTTCCCCAGACTTTGTGTCTTGGAGAAGGGGTGCCCAGAGAGGGCAATGCTCTCTACTCATGTGCTTGAATAGAGAGAGAGTCCCAGGACTGTGGTAAGAGCCCAAGGAGTGAGATTCAGCGCTCTCCCTCACCCAGGGCCGCCGTCTTTCTTGCTGACTCAAAGCCTTTTGGTACAGCCTCTACCCTCGTCTGTGTGGCACACATTCCCCCAAGTAGCTTTCCTCTAGGAAATTTTTCCTGACTCTCAACTTTGATCCCTCCAAACCCTGCAGGATCGCAGAGCTGCCCTGCAGTTCTGAAAGATTCAGCCTTCTCTCTTTTTATCCCATATCCAAGGACAATCAAGACATTT